AAGAATGTGATTTTCAAAAAAAAAAAAAAGTGAGAGAACTAAAAGGAGAAATAATCAAATCCACAAGTAGAGATTTCAACATCCCTTTCCAGTAACTGACAGAACAAAATGAAAGAAAATCACCAAAGATGAAAAGAAAGAAAATTAAAGAAGACCTGAACAACACTATCAACCAACTTGACTTAATTGACATTTACAGAACACTGTAATCTAAATGTGGTCTCTGAACACAGTACAATTAAATTAAAAACCAATTCCTGATAAATCCCCAAATATGTGGAAACTAAATATCACTTCTAAATAACCCATAGATCAAAGAAGACATCAAAAGGGGTATTAGAGGGAATTCTCCGGTGGTCCAGTGGTTAGGACTCTACTCTCTCACTGCCAAGGGCCTGGGTTCAATCCCTATTCAGGGAACTAAGATCCCACAAGCCACGCAGCGTGGCCAAAACAGAAAAAGGCGGGGGCGGGGGGGGGGGGAATTAGAAAATATTTTTAATTGAATAAAAATGAAAACATGTCGTATCAAAATTTGTGGGATGCAGCTAAAACCAGTGTTTAGAGGGAAATGTATAGCACCAAGCATCTATGTTAGAAAACAAGAAGGACTTCCCTGGTGATGCAGTGGTTAAGAATCTGCCTGCCAATGCAGAGGACATGGGTTCGATCCCCGGTCTGGGAAGATCCCACATGCCGTGGAGCAACTAAGCCAATGAGCCACAACTGAGCCCACGTGCCGCAACTACTGAAGCCCGCACGCTGCAACTACTGAAGCCCATGCTCTGCAACAAGAGAAGCTACTATAATGAGAAGTCCACGCACCGCAACGAAGAGTAGCCCCCACTCGCCACAACTAGAGAAAACCCTCGCACAGCAACCAAGACCCAACGCAGCCAAAAATAAAATTAAAAAAAAGAAAACAAGAAATATCTCAGATTTAACTGATTTAAGCTATTACCTTAAAAACGTCAAAAAAAATTAAAGCCAAACAAAAGGAAACAAAGAGCAGAAAGCAATGAAATAAAAAAACAAGAAATTAAAATAAAAAAAAAAATCAATGAAACCAAAAGCTTTCTTCAAAAAGATTAAAATCTGGGCTTCCCTGGTGGTGCAGTGGTTGAGAGTCTGCCTGCCAATGCAGGGGACACGGGTTTGTGCCCCGGTCTGGGAAGATCCCACATGCCGCGGAGCAGCTGGGCCCGTGAGCCATGGCCGCTGAGCCTGCGCGTCCGGAGCCTGTGCTCCGCAACGGGAGAGGCCACAACAGTGAGAGGCCCGGGTACCACAAAAAAAAAAAAAGATTAAAATCTATTTGAAGCTATTTTTTTATATTTATTAATTTATTTTTTGGCTGTGTTGGGTCTTTGTTGCTGTGCGTGGGTTTTCTCTAGCTGTGGCGAGTGGGGGCTACTCTTCGTTGCAGTGCGCGGGCTTCTCATTGCTGTGGCTTCTCTTGTTGCGGAGCACAGGCTCTAGGCGCTCGGCTTCAGTAGTTGTGGCTCAGCGGGCTCTAGAGCACAGGCTCAGTAGTTATGGTGCACGGGCTTAGTTGCTCCGTGGCATACGGGATATTCGCAGACTAGGGTTCGAACCCGTGTCCCCTGCATTGGCAGGCGGATTCTTAACCACTGCGCCACCAGGGAAATCCCTATTTGAAGCTATTTTAATTAAAACTTTGAAGTTATTTGCACAAGGACAAATAGGCCAATGGAAGAGATTAGAAAATGCACAAACAGACATACACATTTATGTCAAGGCTTCCAATGCAATGAAAAGTAAGTGTTCAATAAATAGTGCTGCTTAAATAGAGAAGCCATATGGAAAAAAAAAAAAGATCCTTGGCCCTAACTCACATCATATATAAAATATACAAAAATAAATTCCAGAAAGATTGTCAGTGAAACAATAAAGCTTCTAGAAGATAATATGAGAAAATAGCTTCATGACCCTGGGGTAAGCAGTGATTTCTTAAACAGGTCACAAATTAACCATACAGGAAAAAACTAATAAACTGTACCCATTGAAATTAAGAACTTTATTCTATCAAACACATCATTAGGAATGTGAAAAGGGAAGCAGTTACTGGCAGTACTTACTGTTCCTTAATACTACGTTTAAAATACCAACTTATTTCTGCTACTGAGAGACCTAAGTAAAGTCTTAAGAGCTCCACTTTGGCATAGGCATCTACAACTAAACTAAGTAACCAAGGAACCTCTGCCAAAACAAGGCCAAATTTTCTCCCCAAATTTCTTTAAGTACAATTTTGGTTTAGGAAGAAAGCCCATGAAAAGGTTCTTCGGGGGGAATGTAGCAATCACGCCACTGTGCCTTTTTTTCCCCCAAAACACAATGAACTCACTGAGCAATTTTAAATGGCAAAACCTTGAGAAATTTCACATGGCCAAAACTTCTTGAAGATATAATGGACAGGCGAGGTAGGGCCAATTTTCTACAGCTCTCCATTTTCTATAACACTGAAGCACAAGAAGCTGGAATAAGGTAGTTCTACAGGTAGTCTAAAAAAAAAGGACAGAGGTTCCTGTGAGAGAACACAGTGGCAGATGCAGATGGGCAGCTGCAGGCACGGAAGGGATGGTAAACCAACGCAATCCCAGTTTCACCCAAGGAAAAGAACGTAGTGCCCCGTGCCTGAAGCATAATACTAGTTCAACGAGAATATGCTGAACAAGTGAATAAACAAATGAGTGAAGAGGAAAAGATTAAAGGGACAGCTGGGCAGGAAGTAAGGAAAATTGCTTGTAAAAAGGAGAAATATATACTGAAGGAAAAGAAGAGCCAGTCAAAGAAGAAGCAAGTTAGCCAAACTGGCCAAGAAAGTAAAATGCTACAGAGATGAAGACAAAGCTGATGGTCACAAGTCTGTAACAGCAAAAGAAATATTCTGAGAACTGCACTAGAAGGCAGAAATGGAATATACATGGCTCCTAATCGAGGGCAAATACTCCCAATACTAATGTTCAGGTAATTTTCAGAATTAAAATAGGATTCTTAGCTATCATTTATCATTTCCCATGAACCAGGTATTGTGCCGAGCATTTAGTTATGTTATCTATTTATAGCATTTGGAAAATTAACCCAAAATATCCCAAGTCAGGCTAAGCTGATTTGAATATCAACCTTAGGAAGCACAGTTGATATTATCTATAACTTAGAAAGCTTAAGCTCAATTGTACTTCTGTCTGAAAACAAGAAATGCTAATGGTGAGGAAACAGTCTTAAATGACATATAAAATGGAATCTCAGAGAGAGAAAAAAAATATATAGCATTTTCCAATAGTAACTAGGAGACAGGGGAGACAGGGACAACTATACGGGATATAAAGCCCAAGAGTGGAAATGGAGGCATCAGGCTGTTATAGTTTAATGACACTGACCATTAATAAATCCAGCTAACTCTCCTTGCTCTAATTCCATGTCCAAATAAGCTTCTGACTATAATTTGCTTCCCATATAGTTTTGCTTAGTGAACATCTGTACTACTTAATGATGATACTTCCTACTAAAAACTGTCATTTTGGCTTATACATTAGCCTCTAGTGAATCAGCTCCCTAAGCCTAATCATTTCTGGGTGTACTAACAAATCACATTTTTAAGCCTATAAATTCAGAAACCGGACCTCAGAATGTATATGCATACTATGATACTGTGAAATTCTAGGAGTCGGCCTGGGTGCAGATAGTCTCCCCTCTGTCTTGCTGAACACCTATTCAAACCACAGTACTTAAACGAAAATAATAATTAGCTGAGTCTGTGAGTCATCTTTTAGCCCCACAGAGAAGGATCTATCTCAGTCCTGTCACACCGCACCAAGCATATACCTATGATGCTGAGGCAGTCCCCTGAAAGAGAACTAGTCTTCTTCTTACCCCTGAAGGGGCTGGGCATTAACCTACAGCTTTCTGATAAGGTAGATATCGAGAACCTCTAACGAGATTATTTCAAAAAAATATTTTAACACAAAAATATTCAGCGCATTAGAAATATCAGAGAATGGATAGGGATATCCCTGGTGGCACAGTGGTTAAGAGTCTGCCTGCCAATGCAGGGGACACAGGTTCGAGCCCTGGTCCGGGAAGATCCCACATGCCGTGGAGGAACTAAGCCCATGCGTCACAAATACTGAGCCTGTGCTCTTGAGCCCACGAGCCACAACTACTGAAGCCCTCGCACCACAACTACTGAAGCCCGTGCTCTGCAACAAGAGAAGCCACCGCAATGAGAAGCCCACACACCGCAACGAAGAGTAGCCCTCACTCGCCACAACTAGAGTAAGTCCTCGCGCAGCAAAGAAGACCTAACGCAGCCATAAATAAATAAATTTATCTTTAAAAAATAAAATGAGGGCTTCCCTGGTGGCGCAGTGATTAAGAATCCGCCTGCCAATGCAGGGGACACGGGTTCGAGCCCTGGTCTGGGAAGATCCCACATGCCGTGGAGCAACTAAGCCCGTGTGCCGCAACTACTGAGCCTGTGCTCTAGAGCCCATGAGCCACAACTACTGAGCCTGCATGCCTAGAGCCCATGCTCCACAAGAAGAGAAGCCACCGCAGTAAGAAGCCTGCCCACCAGAATGAAGACTAGGCCCCACTCGCTGCAACTAAAGAAAGCCCACACACAGCAACGGAGACCCAACGCAGCCAAAAATAAATAAATAAATTTATTTTAAAAATAAAAATAAAATGAAATTAGCATATATAGGAAAAATCAATCTACTACAGTGGAAATTTAAGAATAAAAAGAGGGCTTCCCTGGTGGCGCAGTGGTTGAGAGTCCGCCTGCCGATGCAGGGGACACGGGTTCATGCCCCGGTCCAGGAAGATCTCACATGCCGCGGAGCGGCTGGGCCCGTGAGCCATGGCCGCTGAGCCTGCATGTCTGGAGCCTGTGCTCCACAACGGGAGAGGCCACAACAGTGAGAGGCCCATGTACCGAAAAAAAAAAAAAAAGAATAAAAAGAAAAAGGAAGACTCACGTGTGTCTTTCATATCTGAGGGTCTCTCGGATGGACCAGGCAACCTGGTATGGCGAGGCCTGCTCTGAGTCCTCCAGTTCTTCTCCACTCTCTTCAGACCAGTCCAACCCTAGGAGGAGAGGATGTTGCAAGTTAGAAAAAATGAACATTTATTTAAAATTTAGATAAAAAGCTACCTGAAATACATAACCCGACACCTATAGCAAGTACTCTCATAGTGTGAATAAATCCCTCCTGATGAGTTTCAGCCCTGTTCTGGCAAAGGTATTAATAATGAATGTATGACATGCACTCGCATTTAAAATAATGACATTACAACAAAAAGGCTATATTCCACGGATGAACTTCTTTCGTCAGATGCTTCACAAATGGAGTAGAAACAACACAAAGCAAACAGAGAGTTCAAGTCAAAAAAAGGGGTAAAATTTCTTAAGTATCAAAATGTTATACACTAAAATAATGTCGAAAAACATAAAACATGTTCAAAATGACAGGAGAAGAAGCCTAATTCATGTTCAGGCAAGAAAAAGTCAAAAGGTGCCAGTGGACTCATGCTATACGTCAACAAAGAAGGGGCCTAGAATATATTGTGAAAGGCAGGCACACTCCATCCCCTTTTCCCAACAACATCTCTGGAGGAAAGGACACCATCCACTAGGCAGGGCCATTCCCAGGCTCTTGTCCCCTACGGGAAGAGGGAAGGGCAGGATGGCAATGTTCTATTTCTAGTATCGCTTGGGGTTTCTTTCAGTTCTTTTAAACAAGAGCTGTCACATTTTGAGTTCCATTTGGAAAACAAGGTTAGAGGGAAAAGTGGAGAAATACAGTATAATAATGCTTATTTATTTTGTTAAATCCTATTATTTTTAATGACTGGATAATTGTTAGCTTCCAACTACAGGTTTTGCCTTTTCTTTTTTTCTTTTTTTTTTGGCCACACAGCAGAGTATGCGTGATCCTAGTTCCCCAACCAGGGATCAAACCTGTGCCCCCTGCAGTGGAAGCACAGAATCTTAACCACCTGACCGCTAAGGAAGTCCCAAAGGTTTTGCCTTTTTAATTTTGTATCTTGAAGAGGTCTTAAATATTGATGTTGCATAGCCTAAAATACAACAGTGTGTGGACTACATAACCTTAATAAATTCATACCACTATGAAACTTTAATTAGATACCTTGATGACTAGTATTCTATGTCTTCCTTCTTGAGACCCTCAAAAATCAAAAGACCATCTTCATTAGGCACAGTTAGTTAAAAAGGACCTCACAGATTTCTTCCATAATTTAAATGAGTTTACATGTGCCAAATTGGGAAATTAAGAAAAGGTTAATTGAAATGCAAATTATAAATGCTTAAAATTAAATATTGCCATTGGCATAAAGAAATGCCAAATCTAGTTCCAAGATGACTATTCAAAATGTCAGGTCATCTTAAAAACTAAGTTACTTTCTCTAACTAAAATAATTAGTAGTTTGTTAAAGAGTAAATCAAAAAAATAAAAAACAAATAAGTGACCACATCATCACCTTCAGGACATTGAAAGGTGAGGTCCTTCAAACACAAAGTGACACTCAAGGCACCTTTAAAAATTAGAACATGAGTTGTTATTTTTTATATTTTCTGTAGAAGTCATAATAATGTCTACTAAGATACCCATGCTTTCTCTGAAAAAGTCAAGATCTAAGTCATAAGAAGTAAGATGGAAGTGTTTCTCCTGTTGTAAAATTAACTGTCCAATAAAGCAAACCTTTGATCTTGGCTTCATTATCACTAGTTTCAACGTAACTAATTGAGATAACCAGCCCAAACAGGACTGTAGAAGCCAATTAAATACTGCGTTTTTCTTTAAGTATTCTTTGCTGACATGAATGCAGAGTACACTTGGTTATAATAGTGCACTGTAATTTCTGGTTTCTCCAAAATAAACTGTTTTAAAAATTTGGGTCCCTCATATGCTTGAATTTTTAAAAAATAAAAAGACAATACTTTTCTATGAGTTTTAGTTCTGTTCAAAATGATTGAAAGTCAGCCCTCAACACAACATAAAATTTCATAGTTTCAAAAGCTAAAATATTATCAGCATCTAGAAATAAACAGAAATATAAGTAAAAATTTAGCAGATGATATGGGTAAAAGGTAGAATAAAAGGCAAACATTTGGAAGAAAAGTTAGATCTCTGCCTCAAAACTAATGCCTAATGAGTTCCAAACAGATGACTAAAATAATAAAAGGGCTAAAAGAAAATATAGGTGAACATATTTATATACTCTTGGAATGAAGAGAGCCTAAACAAGAGGAGAAAAAAAACCTGATTCAAAAGGAAGAAATCTTTAAAAAGAGAGAGAGAATACATAAAAAAATTTAACCTCTAAATTCCAAAACCTTTATAGTAGATACTAAAAGCAAGTAACAAATGGGAGTGAGAAGAGGTTTTGCAACAAACATTAAATATGTATAAAAAGCTCTTACACCTATCAATAAAAAAGAGAAATGCTTAAATAAAAATGGATGAAAAAACTGACAAGATAAAATAGGAAATACATATGTCCAAAAAAAGTAGTATGAACCAATATTCAAAACTACATTATTAATCTAAAAGAGCAGTCCGTACTCAAAAGTATGGCCCACAGATCCCCAGGGGTCCCTGAAACCCTTTTTAGGGAGATGCTTAGGTCAACGCTATCTTCAAAACAATACTAAAATGTTATTTGCCTTTTTTACTGTGTTGACATTGCACTGATGGTAAAAACAACAACAAAAAACCCATGGTGGGTGAAACTGCTGACGCCTTAGCGTGAACCAAGGCAGGGGCACAAAACTGTACCAGTTGTCAATATATATTCCATACCATGACTTGCAATTAAATGAAAACAAGTATACAAAAAACAATTTAAGACCATCCTTGATAAAGCACTCATTTATTAAAGACTTTATTTGATTATATCTTGATTCTTGTGTATATGTCTTTATGATGCAGTGTGTGATGAAACGTGAGGTATATATAAAACAACTCTACTGCATCCGAAGAGAGTACAGCAGCTGTCTTGAGGAAAAGCACTTTGTAGGACTCTTAGTTGTGACCTGAACTAGCTGCTTTTCCCTCATTCAATACCAATTTTATTTGAAAGAGTGACTGACAAACTATTGGCTATCTTGCAGTCATTTTTTCTAAAATGAACATAGTGAAACCATCACCCCAAGGAAAACAATGAACAGTATTTATTGCCAATGGTAACATTCAAATGTTCACTTGAAAGCTCAGTTTTGGGGGAAAACTTGAATTTATCACTGAAAGTATGACAAATACCTAAGAGTTGGACTTCTCCGATAAGACTGGTGTTAGTATTAATGAATGCAATCTAAAATTTTTGTATAATGAAATGTGTCAACATTTGGGACATCTGTGTAACTCAGTAGAGCAATATCTTCCAAACGACCAACATACGATGTTACAACATCACGCATGGGTAAAATATTCATTCAAATATCAATGGAGGGGGGCTTCCCTGGTGGCGCAGTGGTTGAGAATCTGCCTGCCAATGCAGGGGACACGGGTTCGAGCCCCGGTCTGGGAAGATCCCACATGACGCGGAGCAACTACTGAGCCTGCGCATCTTGTGCTCCGCAACAAGAGAGGCCGCGATAGTGAGAGGCCCGCGCATCGCGATGAAGAGTGGCCCCCACTTGCCGCAAGTAGTGAAAGCCCTCGCGTAGAAACGAAGACCCAACACTGCCAAAAATAAATAAATTAATTAATTAAAAAATAAAATCAATGGAGGGCTTCCCTGGTGGCGCAGTGGTTGAGAGTCCGCCTGCCGATGCAGGGGACGTGGGTTCGTGCCCCGGTCCGGGAAGATCCCACATGCTGTGGAGTGGCTGGGCCCGTGAGCCATGGCCGCTGAGCCTGCGCGTCCGGAGCCTGTGCTCCGCAACGGGAGAGGCCACAACAAGTGAGAGGCCCGCGTACCGCAAAAAAAAAAAAAAAAAAAAAGAAAATCAATGGATTTTAATGTAACAGTATGCAAAATTCCTAGATATGGTTTCAGATTCCATGTTGAAACTAATTTTTAAGAAACTACCACTTGTCAAGTTTTGGTGTAGAACCAATTACAAATATCTACAATTATTTGGAAAAAACTATTAAAATATCCCTCCATTTTCCAGCTACAAATGTGTAAGGCCATATTTTTATCTCCTAACCAGAAAAAAAAACCCCCACATATCAGGACACATTGAATGCAGAAGCACATATCTAGCACATCAGACATTAAGATTTGCTAAACAACGTCAAACAATGCTGCTCTCCCCATTATATTTGTTTTTGTTTTAGAAAAGTTATTTTTCATAAAAAGAACATGCTAACATGCAGTAACTTTATTGTTATTTTAAAATGAATTAGTATTTTTTTTAATTTCTCAGTTTTAACTTCTAATTCAGTAAATATCAGTAAATATAACTCACATATACGAAATCTCTACCGTGTCCTCGATAATTTTTGAGTGCAAAAAAAGTGATTCTAAGGCCAAACACTTGAGAAACACTGATCTAAGGTATGCAAATTAAAGCAAACTTTCTATCAAATTTGCAAAGGCTAAATAATAATAATAATATCTAATATCCAGGGCTATAAAGATGTAGAGAAACTGTCATTCTCATACGCTGCTGAAAGAAAAGTAAACTGACAAAATAATTCTGAAGGAAAATTTGGCAATATACATCAAAAACCTTTTTAAAAAGTGCAAAAGCTTGGGATCAGCAATTCTGCTTCCAGGAATCGATTTGAAGGAAAAATTAAAGACGTGACGGTAATTATTTTACTGAGAGGGCTATATAGCTACAACACTTTATACTTTAATAAATTGGAAATGATTTAAATTCAAGAAAGAATTCAGCTGTGACAAACTGTGTATGAAAAATTACTAACGTGATAATACATTGCAAAACATTTTTAAACAGGTTACAATACTGTACATACAACAGGAACTTACTTTTATATATCTAAAAGAATATGCCAAGATATTAACAAATAGGTATTAATAAGGCTTGGGGTGTTTTAATTTATTACTTTGCTTATCTATATTTTTTCTTTAAGTTTTATTAGTTTTTTTAATTACCAAAAGTCATACATGGTTTAATAACAAATGAAATAATATGAAGCTATAGAAGAAGAAATATCACTCCCATCTCCCCAAAACACATCCTGTCCAATTCCATCCCCCGCCATGGTAGCCAATGGTAACAGACTGATAGTGTACATCCATTCACACTTTAACTATGCTCATACCAGAGAGGCATACATCTATCCATATGATTGATCAATAGATATACTGGCGTCCCTTGTTTGTTCACTTTGCTTATTTTTACAAACATGGGACAGTACAATACCTCTTGGTATTTTTCTACTTGTTAATGTATCATGAGCACATCCAGGTAAAAGATGGAGATTTCATTCATTCTTTTTAATAGCTGCATACTTCATAAAATGTATATGTACCAGAATTTACTCAATTCTGAATTTCCTATAGGTTATAAAGGTTGTTTTCAGATTTTTAATACTGCAAGCAATACTGTAAGCAATGCTGTAGTAAACATCCTGGAACACATATCCTTACATTCTGATACTTTTTTTATCCATAGATAGAGTCCCAAAAGTGAGCTTGCTGGCTATACATATACTTTTAATTAGTATATATTGTTGCATTACTCACCAGCAAAGTATGAGAGCCCATATCCTCATCAACAACAGATATACTTTTTGCCAATATGATGGTAACTCATTGTTACTTTAATTTGCGTTTCCTCGTCTGTTACGAGGATTGAGGTTTTCATTTGTTTATTGACCATTTATATTTCTTCTTCCTCTATTCCCATCCTTTTCCCATTTTTCTATTGCTGTCATATGTCATGCAAATAATTTTTCCTAAAGTTAGAATCACAACTCACAACACATTCAAGAATAAATTCCAAGTGAATCAAAGGCTTAAATGATCAAAAATAAACAAACTATTAATAGAAAATACAGAATAACTGTATAAACTCGCTATCAGAGAGATTTTCTTGAGTAAGATAAAACTCAGAAGCAACAAAGGAAAGACAGACATTTGACTACATTAAAGTTTTATCTGTAATTTTTTGCTTTCCAATCGTGAACAGGTATTACTTTAAGATTTTTTTTTTCAGAAAACTGTCAGCAGATATTTACAATGCTATCTTACTCCAAAGTCCTGTGATAAGACATGTGGAGAACTTCATTAGACACACAGGGACTGAGCTCAGAGGCACAAAACCAAACACAACTGCTTTTAATACCGCTACTACTACTGCTAGAAGCTATAACTGGAATTCTAAATTCCCAGCTCCTATTTCTTCTGTAACCTGTTCACCAGTCACTGTCCTGTCCAGTAGCATATTTACTTTAAAGCGGTCTACCTAAATACGAATCTTTAATTGACCACTCTGTCCAAGTATTCTTTTACTCCTATTACATGAGAAGGTTATGAAAATAAAACCTTGTGCAATAGGCACATCTTGTCACATTACACACACATGATATGGTAAAACAGACGGTAACTCACCTAAATGGGGAAACAGATCAGTGTCCAGCTGATGTTTTTGGGTGCACAGTTTCACCAGTCTCTGCAGTCGACTTATACAAGAGAAGTGTGGAGAGAAGGCTGTGGCTTTCATAAGGACCCGGTCAGTCCTGGGCGGGTCCACGACGGGAGCCCTACTAGATGGCAGGAGGGGCAGAGGCCTCTTGTGAGACAACTGCCTGGCTTGTGCTATAGTGTGTGGAGTGGGGCCCACTCCCTGCATTGGTAGGCTGGTGTTCTGAGGTTGAGGTGACTTGCAGACTAGACCCTGCGGTGGCGCTGGAGGTTTTAAAGTGGATAAAGGTGACAGGTGGGAGTGCTGCTGCGGAGGCTGCTGCTGAGAAGGTGCAGGAGGGGGACTAAAGTGCTCTTGTCGAACTTTTAAAATCTCTGTCTCTCTCTGGCGCTGCCGATTCTGGGCCAACTTGCTCTGCAACTTCTTTCTCACAGTTGCCCCTTTCTTTAGGTCATCATCTTCCTCGTTGAAAGCAAATGGGTCTTCCAACTCAGTTTCCAGGTAGTGGAGAGGGACCCTTGCCCCCGGTGGAGAGAGGGACATTCCATCCAGTCCATTGGGCATCTTCAAGGCCAACGTGGGCACCGTCAGGCTAAAGGCCATGGTATCCATCTGGTGCCTGACCTTTACCTCATCTATAGGATCATTCTTTTTCTTCCTCTCTTTTTTCGGGATAAAGCCAAGTACCTGCAAGTGGCTGTTGCAGTACCTTTAAAAATACACACATATACAGGAAAATGTTCATGATACATATTAAGAAAAGGAGAATATAAAACTACGTATCATAAAATGTGAATCCTAATATGTTCAAAATGCATGACTATAATAACTCTTTGGCATTCATGGATGTGATTTATACAACTTCCACTACCCTCAAGCAATCCTCAAAGTCTGTGCAATTTTGCTAAAGCAAATATATGAATTGCACATGTGAAGAGGCCGCCAGACAGAAGCAAGTCATTCAAATAGTGAGTGGCCCTGGATAACCAACCACCCAGCTATTGCTTCTCACACCGCTTTGTTATTCTCTATTCATAGCATACAAAGTAGCTCATCAGGAGTCTAAAGGATCACTTAAAATTCTCTTATGGAGAAAAAAATACATGTCCCAATGCCATTCAAGTATTGGAGATTCACAAAGATCTTATGACATAACACTTCAGAATGTTAAATGTCAAAGAAATGATACAAATGAACGTATTTACAAAACAGAAACCGACTCACAGACTTAGAGAATGAACTTATGGTGATGGGGGGAGGGGGGAAGGATGGAGGGAAGGGATAGTCAGGGAGTGTGGGATCCACATGTACGCACTGCTGTATTTAAAAAGGATAACCAACAAGGACCTACTGTATAGCACAGGGCACTCTGCTCAGTGTTATGCGGCAGCTGGATGGGAGGGGAGTCTGGGGGAGAATGGATACCTGTATATGTATGGCTGAGTCACTTTGCTGTGCACCTGAAACTATCACAACATTGTTAATCGGCTATGCTCCAATATAAAATAAAAAGTTTTACAAAAAAAAGAATGTCAAATGTCTACTGTGTGTGTTCTACACACACACACACACACACACACACACACACACACAAAGAGAGAGGGAGAAGGAGAAAATAAAATAATAAAACTAGTTAGTGTGATAATCGATTAAATGAGTTTCTCAATAGCCAGCCACGTGTTAAGTACATGGATTACCTCCTCTAGCTAGTTTCTACCTGCAGTAGGTACTAAAATAATGCCCTTTATACAAATGAGGAAACTAAATTTTATACAAATTAAATAACTTGCCCAAAGCCACCTATCTGGAAAGTGACAGAGCTGAGACAAACTAAAAATCAAAGCTTGTATAGCACAGGAAACAATATTTAATATCCTGTGATAAACTATAATGGAAAAGACTATGAAGAAGAATGTATATATATGTATAACTGAATCACTGTGCTATACAGCAGAAATTAACACAACATTGTAAATCAACTATACTTCAATTAAAAAAATAGAAAAAAATAAAAGTCAAAGCTCACAAAGACTCAATAAGTCTTCAACAATGAGCAGGTTACTTCTGTAATATAAATGCTATTTTAAAAATACTATGAAAAGACAGAATCCTTCTACATAATGAGAAAGTAGAAGGCATGTTATTCCAATAAATTTCACTGAAATCCTGTGAAGGCTTCTAACCAGTAGAAAAGTAGTATTTCCTAAACTGGTATACCTCATGCAGTTCCAAGGTATGTTAACAAGTATGTCATAAAAACAGTATTCCATGCTTAAATAAATTTGGAAAATGCTGGCTTAAACAGAATTAGATAATGATTTCATCATTTGTTTCTGCTAAACAACCTCTCAAAGCATTCTGTATGATAATGTGCATTATACACCAAGGGTAGAAATCTACCCATATAGCATTGCTTCCCAAACATATTTAAAACGGCACCTATTTTATTGCAGCATATTTATGACATCTCCATAGAACACAGTTTGGGGAAAAAGGCAATAAAGTGAATAATGTCAATCCCCAAACTCAATGGGTTGCAACAAAAAACTGTTTTAATGATTGTTAAAAACACAGATTCACCAAAAATCAGGACACATGGTTTTGTTGGTTTGTCTTAAAAATAAATCTATCAGAGGCACTCTTTAATTTTAAATAGAACTATTAAGAAAAAGCTTTCTGGACAGTAAAGAGACGTTACACTGTGTTTGTGTGTGTGTGTGTGTGTGCGTGCACGCACATGCGTGTGCCTAGCAGGTTTGAGCTAGGTCCCTTACACACCTTAAACAGAACAGATTCATAAAGCTGCAGCCAACAGGGAAAAGGGTTTCAGGGATAACTGTACTAAGCTTCCCAACAAAGAGTTAATGGTTTTTGTTATTTTCTACTCATTTTCAAATTAACAAAAGGATTAGTACTATTAGTGGGGAGAAATGAAGTGGGTTTTTTAAATTTAGAAATCAAACTCTTCTGCTCATTTACAAGGGCAGCCTGGACTGGTAAATGAGGCTACTATGTACTACATTACCTAATCCAGCAGAGGCAAATCCGCATGTACAGTCCTCCTTCAACCCCACCCTCAACTCCCACTCCAGCCACTGTCACACTATCACAACATTTAGCCTGAACTCTTAAAAACTCTGCCTCTTCTAAAAGGGAAAATTCTTCATAACTAGAATTAGAACAGCTTAGTTATGAACAGCATTTAAAGTAATGCAAATATGAATTTCCAGTCTAAAAGAATACAGGGGACTGACTGCAAATGGGTTGTTTTGAGGGGATGAAAATGTAAAATTAGACTGTGTTGATAGTTGCACACTCCTGTAAATAAACTAACAAATACTGAATTGTACACTTCAAATGCGTGACTTGTATGGTATGTGAATTATATCTTAAGTTGTTTTAGAAAAGAGTAAATATAGGAAACAAGAAAATTTCTTGGTAAATATATACCATTAAATAAATATATATATAAAATTATACCAAACTTAAATTTAAAATACTATATAAAATAACCAACTTAATATACCCATTTATCTCTAAGCTATCAAGGCTACAGTAATGGGCCTTAGCTTCCCACTGTATATTAGAAAATGGACTTTTCAATTATACCAGTACTTCTACCGAACGTAACACTATTCTATCGAAAAGACGGAATCCCATAAGTTAGCACTTATAATACACACCAGGTTAAGTTACACACCAGATATTAAGAAGCTTCCTCTAGCTGACTACCAACCAGATAATTCTGTCAATTGAAAGTCCTTGGGAATTTGTTTTCTAAAACTATACATAAAACCATGTCAAATCCCTAAGTATCCAAGGAGTAACTGCCTTAACAATGATAAAAGCTTATTTTCAAAAGAATATTAATCTTTTCTACATTGTATCATATAGTACAGTTATAACTATTATATTTATACACAGGTTTAAACATATTATTACATGAATTCAATCTGGGTTTCTCGAGGTAAAATATTACCTCCTACTAATGTCTACTTTAATCTGTTTTCAATCAACCCTACAACAAGAAAAGTATTCATAGCATTTGTGTTCATGTGATTTTGGACCAATTCTGAAAAAATGTATAACTTAGCATTTATTAAGCCTAGTTTCTCTTGACACAGCAACACAAAAGTCCTTTCCCTTCTTGTTCTAAAAAAAGAAAATTACTTCAAATATAAAGGTGAAGATGTATGCTTCAGAGAATTAATATTTTGGAGAAATTCAGAGTGACTCTCACTTTACTTCTTGCTGTTAGCTATTAAGATAACACTTGCTTCGACTGAAATAAAAAAAATCCAAGGTTGACAAAAATTGCAACTGTGTGTGATAAACTAAATTTAAGACAAAATTATAGAAATGTGATTATAATGGATCTTGAAGTAAAAAAGTTAATCCAAGTCCATCCATTCTTCAAGTTAGAAAAGGGCAGCAGTAAGAAATTATTTTCAGTCAGCTAAAACCAACTGGACAGACATGCTTAGCCTAATACCTTGGTACCTTTCTCACCTGAGATTAAAATTTTATTCCTTTCCTCACTAAACAGCTGTTTCTAACTTTCAGGTATTGTAATCTGAAGCCTAAAGTGCTCATTAGAAATTCTATGGGAGTATTCCCAAATCACCACATTATACTGTACTCATTTTGGTGGGATATTTATCAACACAAATTATTTATTTCACCCTAAAAGTTTAAAAGTTGCTCACCATGACATATAAAATACATGATTCCTTTTCAACCAATTTACGTAGGTGACATTCGCTTATATATAGGAACAAAAATAAAGGTTGTATATGTATTTTTTAAAGACAGAAGTAAAAAGTTCAAATTTCTACCTAAAGATAACAAGTATTTGAAACTTTTAGGAAAATAAGCATGCATCTCTCTGTAATATCCTACAATGATCAGCATGGTTTCTGGAGAACTGAGAATAAAGAGACATAAAAAAAGAGATTACATGTGAAATCATATAAATTTTCCTAAGAATATGAAAGATGAATAATCAGCATAAGACTCCTTTAAAAACACCTCCACATTTTATTTAACTCAGAAAAATATAAATTCATAATCCTAGTCAAAAAGCCTACTTTACTATGAAAATACAGTTTCTAAATTATAGTAAATATAGTCTATATGGAACCCTTTTTAACCAAAAGAAGTCTGAGAGGAAGTAAATCTGAATGATTCAAGTAATCATTCTTTTGAATAATTCTTTTTCAATAAGTACATACCATTTGCTACCTTTCAAACAAAGATTTAAAAACTCTAAAATTATTATCATTAATTATAACACCTAAGTAGTTCCTATAATTTCTCTCACTTTGGCTGATGAAATTCTAAGTAGAGAAATCAGGAAATACTTTCTAAGGCTGCAAACCAAACACATCAGTGCCAAGACTTCAAGCAAAAAAAAATTTTTTTTTAAAATAATCCTAGAAAGTCTATTAAGTAAAAAAGAAGAAAACAAACATACTTTTCAAATAATTCCCCAAAGTTACTACTCCATTTCTTAAATATTGCCATCACTCATCTTTAGAACCATTCTAAAGTTTACTTAGATTACCCCCAGAACTCAACATTTAAGTTCATCATATCAAAACACAAACAAACAAAAAAACCCAACTCCCAAGCCTACTAATTAATAATCAAAGATTGCTTTCCACTGTCAGCGCTTACCTGCGGTCCTCTGATTTAGGGATGGGGTTGGTGCAGCGCTGGCTATTATACTTGGCCACATATTCACATTGCTTGAAGGGGGCAGTCTTGTCCTCCAGAACGTGTCTGATACAGAAAGCGTAGCCGTTGAGTCGCCGCTGCTTGCACAGTTTGGGGCTATATGAGCACAAGGGCTTATTGTCAACCTCAGAGAAGTGTATATGTTTCCCTTCATACATCACGTGACTCTATTCCTTGTGAACATCAGCTAAAAGACCACCACAAAAAAAGAAACCCAAATGATAAATCAGAGAGTATAATGCAGATTTAAGTTGAGAATTTCACTGAGGGACTTCTGCCCCACAGCCATACCTGATTTTAAATCTTCTGCACCATAGCAATGTTAAGAGAACCCCAAGGATACCACAGTTTGGAATGCTGCAGAATCAAGATGAAGCAGATTGTCTACAAAAATATCAAAAGGCCTAGTTAACAAAGAGAAATAAGCAAAGTTTGCTCATCTGGGAAGTAAAATACTAGGATATCACCCTTCCTAACAGGATGGATTCTTCATTGTAATCCAACATCCCAATATTGAATTCAAATAATAAGACACATTATAAAATATTAAGTTGCCCTACCACTCCAAATTGAACTAAATAATTTTTGCTTTGGTTAAGTTTTGTAAATAACTCAAAGCAGCAGGGCTCTTCCACCAAACTAATGTCATAAGGTGGCAAGTCACTTTTTTCACTACTGATGGTTGCATGCTATGCCTATTTTCAGAACCCAGGTCTCTTTAAAATGACAATGGAATGAGCTCGTAGACCCAAAACTTCCCCCAGAACTTCTACATTTTTTGATATGTTGGCAAAATATTTAGCAGCTTATAACAAATGTTTCTATAAACTACAAAAAAAAGAACAAATTCCTGTTTTAAAAAGTCATTTTCCCTCTAATATTCCCCCCTACCTATCCCATCCAGACTGTAAATTTCTTGAGTCCAAAGACTGTTCACCACATTTCCACCACTCAGTTGAGTGCCCTGCAGCACACTGTGCTATAGTATAATTATCATGGCTTATGAGTCTTCGGAGGTTTAAGAAAACAGAAGGAAGCAATCACACAATAGTCACTATCTCTCTACACACAAAAGGTCCAGCAGTAACATTTATGTACCATAACACCATATAGTCTGCAATGAAGCTGAAACAACTAACCTGTCACATCAGGACATAGGGGGCTGCTGTGGTCTAACCCAGGGATCCCCAACCCCCAGGCCGTGGACCCGTGACGGAACCCGCGGCCCACCAGGTGGGCAGCCGGGGAGCAAGCGATGCTGCATCTGCCACTCCCCATCGCTCCCCATCGCCCACATGACCACCTGAACTATCACCCCCACCACCCCACCGGTCCGTAGAAAAACTGTCTTCCACGAAACTGGTCCCGGGTGCCAAAAAGGGTGGGGACCACTGGTCTAACCCACCTTCTCCACATTCCAGAAGTCACCCAGACAGCTGATGAACAGCTTAGATACCAGCTACAGAGAAACTCAAGAAACACTCTGTCACTTCCAAAACTAAATATGAAACTCCTTATACCAGTGAATGACAAGATACATAAATCCTTGAAGAGTCAGAAGATAAGTCTGCTCAAGTCTGTTTATCTGCCAAGGTAACTACAGTATTCACCTTGAACAAATGATTTAACCTCAGTTTTCTCATCTGTAAAATAGGGATAATATTAGTAGCTATGTTATCAGGTTGCTCTAAGGATCCGATGATACAAAGCACGCAACACGCGAAGTACCATGCCTTGTATAAGTTAAGCACTGAAGAAATAGAAGTTATTACTCATAAATGTTCTTATTATTACTACATTTTACCTGCTGATGATAAAGGGAGAGAATCTGTATTACCTTTGAGAAGCATTACACTTACTTTAGCAAAAAAAAAAAAAACTGAAACATTAGCCTGGTTAATAAAAATCACATTTGTTACTGAGTAAACCTAATCACACATCAATGTAAAACAAAAATAAGAGCTTTCCCTTTTCACTTTATCAGGAGGCAAGGAAGAAAAGTTGGACTAAAAATTTAAATTTAGCTGCCCCGAAGGTCTGGATGTTCAGGACAGGAAATTATTTCAAAGCAAACCCATGCTGTTTCATTTTTACACCATCTTTGGCCTGCTCATCCACCTGGCAAACATAAATCTTTCATGAATTAGTCCAAGTAAATCTACATGAACTTCAGGAAATAAATAGGCTGGAAATAAGTGACTGAAAAAAGTAACTGCTAGTATGAAAAAAGTAGCCTATATATGTATGAGAATGTTTTATAAATCATATGAAGGGTTAATGTTCACTTTTTACTGACATATTCTATCTAGATGGCATCATATCTATCAAGATTGATGATTCCCCCTTTCTTTCCAATGTTTATGCATCTTCTTTTTTCCTATTTGCATTGGCTAGAACTACTGGAACAATGTTAATAATAGCAACCACTGGTACTCCTAACTTTAAATGAGAACTGTTTTGAGTAATGGCAGCAATAATGCTGACTTCTGTGTTATGTTAAAGAAGTATAAAGAAATTCCTACTTTATTAAAAGTTGTTTCTTTTTAAAAAAAAAACTCAGAATTGATGGTTAATTTTTATTGAATTCTTTCCCAGCTTCTAGGGAAATGATCATTTTTCTCTTTTGTACTTTTAAAAGTATGTACTAAAAATATTTAGTATTGGGCTTCCCTGGTGGCGCAGTGGTTGGGAGTCTGCCTGCCGATGCAGGGCGTGCGGGTTCGTGCCCCGGTCCAGGAGGATCCCGTGAGCCGTGGCCGCTGGGCCTGCGTGCTCCGCAACGGGAGAGGCCGCAGCAGTGGAGGGCCCGTGTACCGCAAAAAAAAAATTTACTATTTAGTATTTCCTGATACTGTACTCTTCTTACACTCCTGGGATGAAAGCAACTTGGTCATCATGCGTTATTCTTCTAACGTATGGCTGAGTTACAGTTGCTAATATTGAGGATTTCTGATTTTTGTATTTTGAGAATGTCTAGAGGTTTTTTTTGTGCTTTGGCAGAATTAGGTGTTAATATAATATTTTAAAAAACAATTTATAAAATCTATGTTCCTGAACAGTTAAAAAGCATTGTAGTTATAATGTTACTTAGAAAGTTGCCTGGGCCTACTAGTGTCTTCTGCAGAGGAGGTTTTCAAGTTTATCTGCATACAATTTAGCTATGTGACCTCTTACGTTTAAATTTCTAAATATCTGTGACTCATTCTCGTATTCTGTGTATGTCCATACATATACGTGATATTTGTGCTTCCTCCTTTTGTTCATGATGGGCTTCAACAGGAGTTTATCTGTTGAATATTTTTACCAACATCCTCCCCCCAAAAACAAAAGCAAAACAAAACAAAACAAAACAAAACAAAACAAAACCCTCTTGGATTTATCAGCACCTCCATGTATTTTCTACTTCATCAATTTCTGCTTTTATATTTGTTCATTCTTTCTGCTTTCTTTCCATTTATTTTATTATTTTGTTAACTTCCTGGGCTGAATTCTTTTCTTTTCATTCTTTTCTTGCTTACTAATTTGTTTACATCTACGAATTTTCCTGAGTACTATTTTAATCATATCCCATAGGTACTAATACACAGAATTCTGATTATCAATACTTTCTAGTTGATTTGGATTTTATTTTTTTATTTCTCCTTTGACCCAAGAGTTATTTAATTTTTTCAGATGGTAGAGTTTTATGCTTCCCTTTGTTTTAGTGCTAGTTAAGAATAAGGAGCATTGGGAATTCCCTGGCGGTCCAGTGGTTAGGACTCCGTGCTTCCACTGCCTGGGGCCCAGGTCCAATCCCTGGTCAGGGAATTAAGATCCCACAAAAAAATAAAAATAAAAAAGAATAAGGAGCATACTGGTGTCTGAGTGATTCTCTGGGCCCAACAAAGGAACCAAGTTTCCAGAGCTCTGAAGACAAGGGGTAACACCCCAAAATATGGACTTATTTTCCATTCCACCTTCATTGGCCTAGCAGCTACCAAGAACAAAGGCTGCATCTCCAGATACCTAGTAAACAAATGCAGTACTGCTTCATGAACTGATTGCTTCTCTGAGGTGCCCACAAGCATATCTGGGGAGAACCTTCATGAATAAGTCGAGGAACGGCTGTCTTATGAGACTGGAGAGATTCCACAAAAGAATGGATGTCATGAAGGAGGCAATGGTTCAGGCAGAGAATAGATGCTGAGATTACAAGGAAGCTGGAGAAACAGAAGAAACACTTGAAGAAGGAAAAGAGAAACAGCTGGCTGCAACTGCCCTCACATCTTGAGAAAACAGCAGCAGTGTAGAGGAGTGTGAGGAAGGACAAAGGTGCTGAGACCTTGCTGAGAGCCCAGAGAGCTGACTGCAGCACACACTCATCCCCTGGGCAAGTCCTCGGCTGCCTCCCAGGAGTGTAAGACCCCAAATGAAGAAAAGCAAAAGCCCCAGTAGGCTCCTCAGGAGAATGGAATGGAAGACCCATCTCTTTCTCCAAACCCAAGAAAAAGAAATCAAGAAGCTGGTTAGCAGTGACCTTGCAGAGACAGCTAGCAGTGGAAGTCTTCCCAAGAGGAAGAAATCGTTCCCCAAAGAGGAACCAGTTAGTGACCCTGAAGTCAGAAACAAGAGTGCCCCCAAGAAAAAGAGGAAATTCTCTTCCAAGGAGCAGCCACTCAGCCGTGGACCTTTAGAGTCTGCTGGCAGCAAGAAGAGCAGCTCTAAGGAAAAGTTCTAAAAGCTATCCCAGGAAGATCAGAATGGACACTTCCCTGGTGGGGCATGACCCACGGAGATATTTCTCAACCCATCCCCTATATCCTAATAAAAACAAATTCACAAGGAAAAAAGAAAAAGAAGGAGCATAATCTGCATATATTTCTGATTTTGGATTTGACTGAGTTTTTATTTGGGGACTAACAGATATTCCTGGGAAAGAGTATT